TTTAGGCCTTTTATGAGTGTAGAGCTATTTCAGTATCATAATAATTAAGTCATTTTCTCAGGCTGCTATTTAGTCTCTTAGAGTTCGATAAATTTCAATGCACCCCAAGGGGCAGTGAACTGATAATCCTCCAGATAAAGGAATGAAGGACCCTTAGAAATAATTTTCTACTGTCTAAATCCTGTAGGACTGTACTGTAGGGTTGAAAACATTTATCTTATCAGTGAGTTTTCCTTTCCCTTCTTTTAAATGCTCTCTACTTAAAGGAAAAATACACANTATATATATACAAATATATATATTAAATTGTCTGGATCTGTCCTCTGAATGTCTTGAATTTCCTCACAGTTTTTCAACCCTTGATAAGTTGTGGAGGATTAACTTTTACCTCACTTTTTGCTCTTTCCTTGTGCCCATTCTATTTTTAAAATCTTTCTCTTCCTTATTTTGCTAAATAAACAATTTACTTTTCATTATTACAAATTACTTTTTACAGTGTATCTATCTTGTTTTATGAATGNTGATTAGATTATCTGGAATTTTAATTCCAATTTATTCTTAGAGGTTTAATGAACAAAATTTTTACTTAATGATGTGTTAATATATTTTTGTTGTTTCTATTTTGTTAAATTTTCTCACCATTGTTTCTTGTAAATTATGCCTTCCTTTTCTTTGAATTTGTATTTTAATTTTAATTTGTTTTGTTAGTCTTTCAGAATGGTGTATTTTTTTAAAAAATTCTTTTGTTTCAGAAAATGTCTACAATTTATATTTATACTTGAATACTAATTTCACTTTATATGGGATTAGGGATTCAAAATCATTTTCACCAGTAGCCATTTTTCCTTTGTTTTGTAGCCACCAAAGAGAAACCTAATATTAGTCTGATTATTAACCTTTTGTAGATAGCATTTAAAAATTTTTGTCTCTATGCTAATTTTCTAGTACATTATTTTTAATATTGACTTTTTTAAAAATCCCAATTTTATTTAGCATAGAAATTGGAGGGCTCATGTGATCTTCGATATCTCTTCAATTCTAGATATTTTTGACAATATTTCTTTATTTCCTCTATGAATTCATTTTTCACTTTCCTTCCTGTTTTTTCTATGCTCTCCTTCTGGAAAATTTATTATATATATATTTATGTGTGTGTGTGTGTGTGTATATATATATACAAATATATATATTAAATTGTCTGGATCTGTCCTCTGAATGTCTTGAATTTNTTATCAGTGAGTTTTCCTTTCCCTTCTTTTAAATGCTCTCTACTTAAAGGAAAAATACACAGATTCAATTATAGAGTCAGTGGGAATTGTATCCCCCAATTCATCTGTTTTTCAAATGTACTGAAATAAAAGTATCTGTAATAGTCACAAAATTAAAAAGAAAAAAAAATCTCCAATTTTGCTCCTGTTCTCTTTTTTAATGTTGTTTATACCTATTCATTTTTTAATTATCTGCTCAGAAGTGCAAAAAGAAAAAAAGTCAGCATTTTGTTGTTTTCTTTTTTATTAATTTTTATTTTTAATTAATTTAATCTAATTAACTTGAGGCTTTTTCTTCTAGTTTCTTGGATTATATATTTTTTCATCTTTCTTGTTTTATAATATGAATGTAATATGTCACTTCCCTGTTGTTTCATAAAATTGACTAAATTCTGTGATTAGATTATCTGGAATTTTAATTCCAATTTATTCTTAGAGGTTTAATGAACAAAATTTATACTTAATGATGTGTTAATATATTTTTGTTGTTTTTATTTTGTTAAATTTTCTCATCATTGTTTCTTGTAAATTATGCCTTCCTTTTCTTTGAATTTGTACTTTAATTTTAATTTGTTTTGTTAGTCTTTCAGAATGGTGTATTTTTTAAAAAAATTCTTTTGTTTCAGAAAATGTCTACAATTTATATTTATACTTGAATACTAATTTC